ACAAAATGGAAGAGTGAAAAATATCAAACTGAAACAATGTGGCCCAATTGGTAGGCACTAAGATAAATGGGGAAAATGACATCAGAGACATGCAGGGATGAAATGTGCCACAACCAATGGGGAAGGAAGAATATACCAAAGAGGTAAATGAACTAGCCAGATGTGTACTAGTGTGAGACATGAGAATAACCAATGTAGAATAGTGTGAAACAGTGAAATGTGGCCCAAAGTGGAAATGAGACTAGAGTGAAAGTGGATTAGAGTGAAACACCTGCAAGGGCCAAGTGTGGAAGGCTGAATGGGGATTGATGATGTAAAGCTGCATGAAGTGATTATGTAATAAGAAGTGTAATGTGGAATCCAGAGTGTTTCTGTCCAGGGGGCTTGGTCTTGTGACATCCATGGTGTTTCAGGTTGGTTGAATATTCCAGAGGGGGCTTGTCTTGGTCCTTGAGGGTATTTTTGTCCAGAGGGCTTGATATTGTGCTTGAGGCTTTGATTTTGTGGGCCTCTTATTCAAGATTGGCTTACCACACCGGTGAAAGAGTAAGTGTACATGAGAGTGTACTCTTTCACCGGCCGGGAGGAATCCCTCTCGGCCGATGAGAGTGTACACTCTCATCGGCCGGGGAGGAATTACTCTTTAACTGGCCGAGGAGAATCCCTCTTGGTCGATGAGGTACAACTCTCATGACCAGGAGGGATTCCTCTCGCCGGTGAGAGAAACCTCCCTTGGGGTTTTTGAAGATCAACTCCCAAAAACCCCCGGGTTTTTTTATTCTTTTTATCTTTTTTTTTTTTTTTGGGGGGGATGATCGACTACCAAACCTGTTGAAGGTTTGGGAGGTCCGACTCCCATCTTTGGGGGTGGACAGCCTGCGGACCGTCCGCAGGGGGTCTTAGTGACGTCCCAAATATTTGGGAGTTGGAACTCCAATATTTGGGAGTCGTTTAACTAAGACCCTTTATTTTTTTTTTTTTTCAAAGTGAAACCAAACCGCTTAAAACTAGTGAAACCACACTGATCCACAAGGTACCTGGTCCGCCCCAGAAGGATTTCCTTGCAAAATCCCCGTACCTCTCCTGCAAAAAAATACACAAAACAAGCCAGTGAAAAGTGATAACAAAAACTGAAAGCAATCCCTATAGGGTAACTGACATCCTGGGGTGGCTAGTTTACCCAGCTGTAGACCACCTAGCGCACCCCCTCACCAATAAATGCTTAGCGTTTACCGCTAACTCCTCCTCTCCGCCCCAGACCTCAACCGCTGTCCCCAGTGGTCCCCTTCAACCTCTTACTCCGCCGTGGTTGCGGAGCCGCTGGTACGGGTTGCTCCGAGGCCTTGCCTCCATCCTCCTCTTCAGAACCACTCCCATAATCTGAGTCCGCCACCGAGGCATCATCATCTTCCTCTCCTGCCGCGTCGGACTCGTCCTCTGAAGCACCCCGCTGCCTTGGCATCTTCACCACCTCCTCCTCATTGTCTGTGTCCGCCGTCTTGTCAAAGGACGTGATGCCCCTGGCGTAGAACCGCTTAACGTGGGCTGCCGCCGCCCGCCGCTTCAAGAGAGTGCTGTCCAACTCCTCCAGCTGGTAACTCCCACCTGGAAATTGGCTGACTACCCTGTAAGGACTGTTCCATTGGTTGGAAAATAGCTTGCCCCATTGAGATTCCAAACTTTGGTTGTAAAGCAGAACAAGATCGCCCTTCGGCAAAAAATCCCTAAGCCGGCTCGAGCACCTCCGGTCCCAGTAGCGGACGGATTTCGTCCTACTCTCCTTCAACCGCCTGGCCGCCTTAGCAACGAGGGATTCCCTCTGCAACAGCTGCTCAGCACGCGCCTCCACAAGGTCCTCCGCCGACTTCACCTTCCACCAGTCAATCCCAAGGAACGTCAATAATTCGATGTCCACAGGCAGCACCGGACGGCAGCCAAACAAAAGCTCATACGGAGAGCAGCCAGTTCCCCCCTTATTCAAGATGCGGTCCGCAAACAACACCATCGGCAAGAACTGCTGCCACTTCCGCCCATCTTTGCCACAGAGCTTGGCCAGCGTGTTCTTCAAAGGCTGATGACCCCGCTCAATGACCCTAGCTCCCTCCAGGTAGTACTCCGTTACTCTCCCAAACTTTGCTCCACAGGACTCCACGAGTTCCTTCAGCCGCCCCATTATCTACTGTGACCAGCCAAATAGACCCGTACCGCGCAAACCAGTCCTCTTCAAAGAATTGACACACCTTTTCCAAGGTTAATTTCACCAACGGCCGCGCTTCCGCCCATCCGGACAGATCATCCCGAGCTACGAGTAAGTACTTGAACTTCCCAGCCTTGATGTGGCAAACATCCACGGACACCCGACTAAACAAGGTATCCTCCCCCATTGGAATGCCGATCTCCTTCTGCAGATAGGTACTGCACCGCTGACACTCCTTGCAACTCCACACCCAGTCCTTCACCGCTCGACCCAAACCAGGCCACCAGAACCAAGTCCACACCCGCTTCCTGGTTTCCGCCTCTCTTCGGTGACCTAATTCCTTGTGCAGGCTTCTCAGGATCTGCTCCTGATCAGCCCGAGTGGTGGCCACAACAAGCGGAATCGGCAGACTCCGTCTCCACAACTGACCACCCTGCAAAAAGAAGTTAGAGCTTTTTCTCCGCACCCATTGTTTAACCAGGTCCGTAGTGCCGTCCGGGTACGCCAAGTGCGTCAGAAAATGTACCATCACCAAGTACCTGCCCATCTGGACAAGTGGAAGACCCTCTGTGTCGACTCCTGCCACACGCACCTCAATCAACCGCCTCTCCACGTCCAGCTCCTCCGCATCTACAAACCTCTCTTCTCCCTCCTTCAGTGGAATACGGCTCAAAGCGTCCGGCAATGTAAAGGCTTTCCCCGGAACATGGACCACTTGGAAGGAAAAGAGCTGAAGATACGTCACCCATCTAGTCATCGGAGGGTTAGGGAGAGAACGGAAATTGATCATCCGCGTCCACCAACAACTCAAAGAAAACGCCCCAAAGGAGATGTTGCAGCCTCCGCACTACCTTCGCAACCCCACACAACTCCAATTTGGGTTGGGAGTAACGCAACTCCACCTCGGTGAAGGTAACAGATTCGTACAACATCGGCTGATCCTTTCCCGTCCTCCTCCTGAGACAACACTCCTCCTGCACCGAACTTGCTGGAATCAACCACCAATCGAATGCCTCCTCTTCTGTAGTCGAGATCCTTCAGGGTGATGTCCAGCCCCACTATCCGTTTCAACTCGTTGAACGCCGCCTCACAAGCCTCCGTCCAGGACCATTCTGCACACTTCCGTGTCAGCCTCCGCAGCGGGCTGGCCAGTATCGCAAAATTTTTGATAAACATCCGCACAAAACTGCACAATCCCAAGAACTGGAGGATATGCAAGGCCGTCTGAGGGGTTGGCCACTCCAGGACCTTGTTCCTCTTGGAAGCCGCAATTGACCCTCCTTGACTGGACACTTCGTGGCCCAAAACATCCAACACCGGCATGCACACCGCAAACTTCTTCCCCAACACCGTCAACCCAGCAAACTCTATCCGGTACAGGACCCGCTCCAACACCACGGCATAATCCCAGATAAAGGGCCTTATCCCCCAATTTTCGGGCAAAAGTTCTCCGCCGTAATCAGACTTGGGCCCTTCAATTCCCGTGTCATCAATGAAAATCTGCACTACGTCCAGTAAGTCATCTCGCAAGATCCATGCCATTTGCGCTGGTAGACCACTACCGAATTGGTCGCTCCCTGCGAGACGAGTACTGCATTCCTCCTACAGACTCGCATTGAACGCGTCATTGCTTGAAGAGATGAGCTCCCACTGATTGTATCCGCCCATAATGTCCACCAAGCCGTAGCAGGCCCCGCCCTGCCCATGGTATCAACGAACTCTTCAATTCGCGGCGGTAGCCCCGCATCCCTGATAGTCACCAAATTCAACCGCTGTAAAATTGTGCACAATCCTCAAGCTCGCCTTGTCCTGCTTCAGCACCACAAATATTGGGATTGAGTAACTGGAATTTGTTTGCTAGTACAACCCGGTCCGCACTTGCTCCTTTATAAGCTCCATGAAAGCTCCATGAATCGCCGCCGGAATTGGAATTGGCCGAATCTGCCACGGCTCATGCGGTATTGTCGGAATTTTGTATGGTTGCCCGATTTCCCGCTTCAACAAGCCCCGCTCTTCTGGTCCAAACGCCAGCACTTTCTCCCGCAGATTCACCACATCCGCCAACAAGTGGAACTCCTCTTTGCTCAGCCACCCTTCCGGCCTGAAATTCAACCCCTCTATCCGCTCCGCAGTGATTTTTGCGGAGGGGGTGAACCTTGGGGAATCCTCGACAACGGCGTCAAAAACGGATCCCAATCCCACTCAATAGGTCACAATGGGGGATTGAGGTCCTGCGGCATTGGTTCTTTCTGAGGCCGGACCTTCTTTGCCACCGGTTTGTACTTCCCTCCGTTCACTCTAGTGAGTCGGGAATTCCCGTAGAGCTAACAACAGTCCACGACCTTCCCCTTTGCTCACGAATGTGGCACTTTGATAGTGTTTTACAGTAGTACCACTTGGAGATGCGCACGATGGAGGACTTACTTGCACCCTTTCGGCCTCTGCTTCTCCTCTACACCAACCCCGTTTGTTCCTCTCTCCTGCTCGTCTGCTACGCCTATCGCACACGCATTGCTCACGACCGTGGCATTGAAGTAGTATTTTGACTCATTCCCCGGAGATGCATACAACGGAAGACTCACTTTTGCTCCCTTGTCGCCTCGCCCCATCTCCACACCTATACCCTCTCTCTTCATGGTTGTTGACCGTCCATACGGAGTCAAAGCTCTCCCCGTACGGATGACTTGGCCAACATCTAAAAATTCTCCGGTGGCGGTTCATGGCACCACTTGCCATGCTGCTCCTCGTCCACCACGCGGTTCAACCATTCCCCGCTCTGCGGTTGGCAGATAGTAGTTTCAAACTGCCTACACCCCAAGTCTCGCACCGCCATGATCTCCTCCCTCCGCCTAGGACAGAACCGCAGATCTGTTCTAAAGGCAAACAAGAATGGACGGCCAAGTATGATTTCATTCGACCTCGTGACCAAGAACGATATCCGTTCTTCAACCTTAGCCACAAGCACCGGTTCCGCCTCCACCACTCCTTCTACCTCGCACCGGAATCCTCCCATGGTGCAGATTGTCATACTTGTTTTCTGTTGCAAGAGGTTAGCTGCTCAGGCCAATTCTGCGGGCATGATATTAATCATGGAGCCGCTGTCGATCATCACCCAAACCTTCTGGCCTCTGATCTCCATCTCGACATACCCCAAGGGACAAGACACCAGCGCTCAATGTACCGGCTTCTCATTCTCACCAAACTCCGCGCTCCACACCTCTGCTAACACCGTCTCAACAGGTGCGCTGACTTTCTCCGCGGTTTCCTTGAACAAAGGACCCGCCGCTTCCCGGATACTCCCTATCAGCTGCTCCGCCATCAGCGGAGAGATTGTCGCCAAATCTTTGAGAGTGAGGGAGAGAGCCGTATCATTCCCTAGCGCTTTTTGGGCCAGCTTGCCTGCCCTCTTCTTTTCGGCGGATTGCCGGGCCACTGGCTCCTTTGCCTTCGACTTCTTCAGCGCCGGCTCTGCTTTTGGAGTCGGGTCCAGTTCCATCTGGTCATACCGTTCTCCAAAACAGACCTGCTCCTCCGCTTCCACCGCTCTTACTTCCGCAGAAACCGCCGGAGGAGTCCACACTCTTCCCCGCTCCAATATCCCAATGTGGGATTTCACTTTGGCCTCCTTGCCCTTACCACCCACAGAATTCTCAGTGCTCCTCCTCCTACGGACTTCATCGCGCGGGATGGCTGCCTCTATCTTTTTGCCATCCAGGTAGTAGTCCCTCATCACTGGCCGGACACCTAGAGTCTTGATGTCAGTGGTGAGGTCCTCGCACTGAGCCTTAAAGTGCCCCGCCACCCCGCAATAGCTGCAAGTTGGCGGTCCTCGCGGCACAAATCCTGGACCTTTCTTTGCCAACTCTGCTCCTGCAGGAGAAGCTTCCGTTCCTGCGCTACCTTCCGGCTGCTTCCACAGCTGGGTTGTCACCGTCTTCTGCATGAACAGGCGTAGCTCCTTGAGCATATCCGCCAATTCACCAACTTCCTTGACCGTCACCGGTTCCGTACTCCGCGTCAATCCCGATCTGATTGCTCCTCCCCCCTTTTCTTCCATCAACTCTACCATATCCATCTCGCCTAGAAGGGCCTTTCGGATCTCCTTCATGTCTGGCAACACGATCACCTCCCCATCTTTCAACCTCTTCACCATGTTCCGCTCGAATAGCTGACGAACGGCCCGCTCACGCATTTCCTTCAGAAAAGCCTTGATGAAGGTCCGCTTCACCGCTCCGGGAGTATCGGTAACAATCTTGTTCCGATTGAGATACTTCAGGATCCGATCAAACGGCGACACGTACTTCCCGTACTGCTCCCTCGTCTTGACTCCCCCTTTCTCCATCATTTCCCCGCAAGCTTCTCTAGATCCGACTCTCGGTATCTTTGCTCGCTCTGTCCCCACTTCTCCAGCATCTCCTTCTTCAACTCCGCCCAGTTCTTCTTCTCATACCCCTCCATCTCCTCTACATCCCACAACGCCTCCTCATCCTGAATAAAGTTAACCACCTGTCTAACCTTATCCAAATCCTCCGCTGCCACCTCGAAGCGCTCCAAGAACCTCGACACCTCCATAGTGCTGAACCGAATGTTAGGATAGTCTTTAGGACGTATCTTTGCTTTCAGCAGACCCATGGCCCGCGGTGGCCTCGGATCGTCCACGTTCATTCCTTCCTCAGAATCTTCTCTCCGCACTGCGTAAGTTCCGCCTCTTTTCCCTGAAATCGAAGCCTGTCCTTCGAAAAGCTTAACTCTCTCCGCCACTTCTTTTCCGGCAAATCCGTTCTTCCGAACTTGATTGACCAAACTACGTCCTTCGGCAATCAGATCGTCCAAGGTCTCGGCTCGCTGGTTTCCCTTATCCTCCGTACTCGGTTGGTTTTCCCGAACTATCCGAGTGATCGTACTCCCGCTTCCGTCACTATTGGAGGAATCAGAAGACTCGTTCCACGCTTGCTTGTTCTTGATGTTATGATCCGCCGGCATGAAGAACTGTCCAGGAAAGCTCATTCACTACTCTTCGTACCGTTTGACCAAGGAAGTTGTTTCCCGATGAGGCCCCCAATTTGTGGAAAGTAAGGCGTGCCCTTGGAGATTTCTTGCACTTCTCCGCTCCGCAACACGTCTTACTCCAATTTGTTGTCCAGGGTAACTTGCTTGATGGTCTTGTAGGTATGTAAAATAACTGTTCTTTTATTGGTCTTTTTGGTAGGTAATACTCTAACTCTCTATATCTAACAATTCTTTAGGCTAATACACAATTCACTCTGTTTTTCTGATATGTTCTGAGTCATAAGTTTTTTCCCCCTCTTTTCCCTTCCGCTCCGAACTCCACTCTTCCCATTATCCCACACTCAAGTTTCCACCTGCCTCTCACGATGTCCTCCACTGTCACTCCCTTGGACTCCGCTCGTCACCCCTCCAACGCCTGTTGGTCCAGGTACTCCTCTGGCCGCTCGTGGACAGGTCTCTCACCGCCGCTTCCGCCTCTGGCTCGCTCCAAACCTTGCTTCCGCCCCTCAGTGCCCCCCGCTCCTTGTAGCCCCTCCGCAGTATACACTGAACCTCATTCCACAGTCAGCCGTGAACCCCGGCGTCCGCCAGTACCCAGATTTTCCCGCAGCAAGCTTTTTGGAACCTTGTGCATTTGGCCTACTTTTCCCCGCTTTCCCGCGCCTCGGAAAGCTAGACTTTCTACTAATGCACCGCCGCCTTCCTCAGCCTGTGTGTGTAGCATCAGCTCTGCATGCTTTCCGTGTCAGAAGCGAGCATTCCGCATGCACCCAACAAACCGGCCAAAGCTTTGGTCAAGGCGCGCTCTTGTCACCACAACGCTTGGTGTAGGAGAAGAAAGTTTGCTAGGTCTGGCGGTAACCTCATCAGAAACTAGTAAGAATAGGACGAAATCCAAAATCAAGCTCTCTGATACAGAAAACGGTGCAGTTCTAGACACAAGGAAGTTAAATTTGGGCTTTGATTGATCGGAAGTGGAATTATTTATCAAGTGTGTAGAAAAGATAGCTTCTTTGCACAAAGCTGGAGGATAGGACATATCTCTTCAGTTACCATTAATGATCAAGGACAAGAAGATTAGTGAGTGTATTGAGAATATGGAAGGACACAAGAATTGGGATTGGGAACTTTTGAAGAAGGAACTCATTCGGAAATGGGGACAAGCGACACCTCTGAGGCGATTTAACAAGAACTCAGTTTCAACATTGGTCAGTAAGTACATGGACAAAGGCGGGATTCAGACAAAGGAGGAATACAGGGCTTTTATTGGCAAACTCAAGGAGATTTTGGCGTATTTGACAAAGATGGATTACAAGGATGTGAAGGCAGCGAGTGGCAAACCACTTTGGAAGGCGATTTCGACCAAGATGCGGCGGGACGTGGCAAAGGAGTTGGCACATGACAAGAAGTTAAAGAAGACCAAGGATGGAAAGGCGCTGGTACCCAAGTTGGAAGTTTTGAAGGACTACGTGGAAGCCTCTTTGTCAGTATATGACTTAGATGTTGGAATCCCTAAAGCTAAACCTGCTATCAAGGGCTCCAAGAATAAACGAGAAGTTCAAGCCAAGAGAAAATCACACAACAGAAAAGACAAAGTGAAGGCTTTGGAGGAGGAGATTAAGAAGTTACGTACTGAAATGAATACCAATCAAAACGCTAGACCATTTCCACCACACTTTTCAACACCAAGACCACCAAATACAGGATTTAGACCGCCAGGACCAGGAGGCCCTTACTTTCAGAGGCCACAGCTTCAATGTTTTTATTGAAAAGAGATGGACCATACCTCAATGTTCTGTCAGCATTTGAATGAAGATATAACTAAACGCCTGGTTTTCAAGCAAGGTCCAAACTTCTATTACCCTAACGGGGAAGTTATGCCAACTGACACTGGAGAATCAATTCAAAAATTGGTAAGGAAATTTAGTGAAAAGTTGAGCGCATCCAAGGAGACTGATGAGAAAAGAGCAAACCTGATGATGAGTGATGAGTTTTCACAACCGAGACAAGAACCAACGGCGTCCATGATCTCTACAAATTGATGGGAAGCCTGGATTCCACCAGAAATGCACTATGGTGAGGAAGAAAAGGAGAATTTGATTGGATTTGGGCTGCAAAGATCCGCGAGAACTAACAAGGACAAGGAGAAAGAAGTACAGCCGCCGTCATCCAAACCAGAGACCTCCGAAAAATCCAAGGAATCTATCTCAAAGACTCCACCCGGAAATCAGGAAGCTAATAAAGATCCCGCAACTACTCACAAGAGACAACCAAGTTGTCCGGGAGCATGGATGGAAGGAGAATCCAACAATGAAAGCAGTGAAGGCGACAACACAGAAGCAGAGAAACCTGTGTCACAAACACCAGAGAAGAGGGTAGAAGAGAAGTCAGCCAAAGAAGTATTTCCCAAACAGTGGATCAGTCTAAAGTTGGGGACTTAGAAAGAAATTTCTAGAGCAAAGTTTCACACTTACCTTGGAAGAATTATTATTAATTGCGCCCAAGTTTCTTCAGGAATTACAGACAAAAGCAGAAGACAATTCAATTCCACTGGAGCAAAGTCAGAACTCGGGGCGGTGTGATCATAGGAACTTTGACAATAGAGAACCTCACCAACATTGGGAAAAGGGTATAAAATTAGGTAATAATGCACTTACTTATGCCTGTCCTTTGGGGTTTATTGAGGTTTGGATTGCGGGCCAGAAAATCAGAGCACTAGTGGATACGGGAGCAGAAATGAATATTATGCCCAAAACTTTGGCAATCCAGCTGAAGCTACCTTCACGCAAAATTAATATGAATATCATGGGAATTGGAGGAAACTCAATGCCCATTGTGGGGCTAGCGGAAGGTGTTCATCTTTGTATTGACGAGGAGGAACAAAAGGGTGCTAACTTCTTTACTGCTCAAGGAAAAGTATACACAGTGTTGGGAAAGCCATTCCTAGCCGATCATAAGGTATGTCTAGAATTATCAAAGATTTGTGGGGAGATACTGAGTTACAAGTTATGGGATGGAGGAAGATTATGCATACCTTTTTGCTCTCCCAAGATTCCAGGATGGGAAATGGCCCTTTGCTTTAGCATGACGATCAAAAGTTAGGCGGATTTCATGGACACATCAGGAGAAGAAGACAAGGAATTGGCAAGACAAGAGGAAGGGTCAGGAAGTACAGAGGTTCACAACTGGGACAATACCATACTTGGGAGCCAGGATCAGAGTGAGGCAAGTCAGGACGGTGGAGAAGGCAACAACAAGTGGAGTAATAATCCAAGCACTTGGGAGACGGAGGACAATACAGCAGTAATGAAGATAGAGCAAAGCAAGTGGACAACATTTCCAGAGTGGGAAGCCTTCAGGTGTAAGGGAAGCTATAATTTGGTGACAATTACAGCTGATTATGTGGATCATGGATATCCGGTTAAAGAATATGTATCCAGAAACTTACGAATCTATGGTGGGGGGAATTTGGGACAAGCTTCCGGGATACACAGCAGGACGTATTGGGTTTATAATGCTGCTAACTACTAATGGAACAAAAGGATACTTAGAAAATTCCTACATTTGGCCAGAGTAGTGGTGGTTTGTCGATGAGGAACGACTTGCAATGTACTTGGGAACAAAAGCAGGAAGAATGACAATTGCCGATCAGGAGTTATGGTACAGTGGGTAGACAGTGAAAAGTGGCTGCTTATTTTGGATTCCAGAGCTCCAAAACATAAATTTGAAATCATGAGACTTGGTCAGGTGGTGCATAATAGTTCCCAAAAAATGAATATGAAAAAACAAAAGCAAAAAATAAAGTTTCAAAATCTGTGAAAAATAAAAAATAAAATTGATTTTTTTCAAACGCTTTGATATGCATTTTGGGGGAGTGGAAGTGCTGAGAGAAAGGAAAATTGGGAAATGAGAAGAATGATTATAAATGAAAATTTTGGAAAAATTGGTTTTCAGATGGCTTCAAACAGCTCTTGAGTGGGGCATTCACCCACCCACATTGTAGCAAAGCACCAGAATTTACTGTTTTGGCTCCAATCTGGACAACCAACCTGCCCAAACCTTTTTTGGTTCTAATTTTTTTCATTTATAATCATTCTTCCCAAATTCCATTCTTTCTTTCTCTCAGCACTCCCACTCACCCAAAATAGGGGGTATCAAATATAGGAAATCCACCATCAGAAACCAGTCACTTTTCCAAAAACTTTTTTTTTGCATAAATGGGCCCCAAAAGGGTTTAAATGGATAACCAAAATGTTTAAAAAAAGGTGGATTTTTTCAAACCAGTCAATTAAATAATGGTGGATTTGGTTGGATTTAATACCCCCTAATGAATATCAAAGCTTTTGAAAAAAAACAATTTTCTTTTTTGCAAATTTTGAAAATTTATTTTTTAGTTTTATTTTTTCATATTCATTTTTTGGGACCTATTATGCACCACCTGAACAAGTCTCATGAATTCAAGTTTGTGTTTCAGAGCTCTGGAATCCAAAATAAGCAGCCACTTTTCACTGTCTACCCACTGTACTCAGGAAGAGATCGTGAGAAAGAAGAGAAAGAATTTCTAACTGAACTAATTCAACAAATGGTGGGAATGTTTGTAAAATTAGATTGACAGGCATTTAAATGGGTGCTACACAATGAGCAGGCATTACTTGGAAGGATTTTGAAACCTTCTGGAAAGTTTGGGAGTACGCCGCTATTGCGGACTAATTCTCTTTCTCCGGCATTTGAAAATATTTGTATTAGTAGGGAATTTTTTGTGTTACACATTCAAATGTATTAAGTAGTGTGCAATCAGCGGTGGGGCAAGTAGAGCATTAGGATTAGTTGTTCTTTTGGAAGCTAGGGATTAATATTATTATTCTACTATTGTTGTGATTTCAATTCTCTTCTCTCAGATTTTTTTTTCAGGCTGTTGATCTTTTTTAATCCTCTCAGTAAAAGGAGGAGTACTATGGTATTTCAGGGCAAGGCAAGCTATCACCAAGCTGTAACAACCATTTGTCCGGAAAGCAGGAAAACAAAAATAAAATATAGAAGGAAGCAAAACAGCATTTTTGTTTTTTTAGGCTTCAAGATAGTATTAAAAGATTTTGTAGGTGGTTTCTTTCTTTGTTAGAAAAGAAGTTTATGTTTTTTTCCGGTCTGGGGCATTTCTGCAAGTATCAGCAGTAGTCTTGTATTTGTTCAAGGAAAAGCAAGGATATTAGCCAGTTTGGGAGATAGGAGGAAGAGAGCGGTACAAATTGGGACATTCAAGGATCAAAGTATTCAGGCAACGGACAGTAAACCTGACACTACTGGCCAAAAGGTGACCCATGGAATGAGGCTTGGCAAACTGGTCAGTTCTACGGAAAGATAGGGAAGCCAGGGCTAGGGAAAGGTCAATAGCACACCAAAAAGGACGATAACAATAATTAATAGGATATTTACATGTTAAGGTGGTGATAGTTGAACCAATCCTCAGCAATAATGGTAGCCGAACGCATGATCTCGTGCCTAAGGAAGTGGGGATGGTTGCTGGCCAGGTCCCCCAGGACGTCCTGCACAGACAAGAGTGTGTTGTAGAAGCTCATCACAAGAAATTGAGCACTGAATCATGCATGCATGTTGTAGGGATCAACAGCAGGGCAAGGATGAGGAGTTGCAGGAGGATTGGTAGGAGGCGCGGGCAAATCACCGGGAGACGCAGCCCTGGTGGGCGCAGGAGAAGTCGGGAAGAGTTGGCAACAAACGGACAGACGAGTCAGGCTACCCGGCAAAGCGGAACCGGCATGACGAGGCATGGAGTACACCCGGCAAAGCGGAACCGGCATGACGAGGCGTGGAGTACACCCGGCGAGGAGCAGAGTCCACAATGGAACGAGGAGGACCGGCCATAGCCGGGGTAGTATAAGGACCAGCCGGCGCAAAACAAACGGCATGTACATACGCGGGCGGAGGGTAGCTGGGGACTTCATCCTCTTCCACCTTAGTTGCTTGGTGTGCAGGATAGGCATTCTAGTGAGGCAGGCAAGAAGGGGGGGGGCTGTTGTTAGTGCGCAGTCCGTAGTAGAGGACGAATGAGAAATAAGGAGTATCAGCAATAACCGGCTTACACTTGCTTGGTTGCTAGGATTAGCAGGGCCAGGCAAATCACAAGCAGGATCAATGATCACGTCCTCTTCAATCCCAGTCCCACCTCATGCGGTGTATGCATGCTAGAAAAACAAGGAAGAGAAGATGGGGGAGGGTAGTTTGCTGTCAACAGCGGAGGATGAGAGGGGAATTGTCAGCCTGCTACTAATCAGAGCCAGCCTGAACATAGCATTTACTTATAAATTAAAAATGTTATTACTTACATATGTACATAAAATTAAAATAACAAGATATACTATTTAAATAGGGGCTTGGAAAAACGACTCCCAAATTTTAGTCCACGACTCCGGTTTTGGTTGGGAGGTCGTCGGACAGGAGTCGTTCTTCCAATTCCCAAAAAAACATAGGGAGTAGTCGCACTAAATTTTCCTGGAGATTTTTTTATTTTTTTATTTGAAAAAATGGGGGTCGTCCGCCTAAAGTGCGGGAGTCGCCGCACTAATTCCGCCTAATTTTTTGCTTTTTTTTATATTTAAATTGAAGGGAGTCGTCTGACTAAAGTATGGGAGTCGTCGCACTAATTCCACCCAAAATTTTGCACTTCTTTATAGTCCACCTAATACGAGTGAGTCGTGGCACCAATTCCGCCCATTTTTTGTCTTTTTTTTCTATGTTAAAAAAAGATGGGAGTCGTCCAACTAGAAATGGGAGTCGTCGCCATATGGCACCCTCAGAGACTCCAAAAAAAGGTTGAGCCACTGAGCCCCCACCCCAAAGGCAATTTATCAATGATAAAAAAATTGGACTGATTGAGAAAAACCATTGCAAGAGATAAAAGAGATGACAAACGGGCCAAAACCATTCAAAAATGATCAGAAATGTAAGAAAAAAAACAAGGTAAAAAAGGACATAGAGGAAAAAAATCAAAAACTAAAAAAGACACAGGATAAAAAAAAACCCTAGTAGTATTTACATTGGATTTTCTATTTTCCTCTCTACAGTCAATTTGAAAGAATCAGAAAATTGGGCTTCCCATCCCCAAGCCTCTTCTGACGCCTTTTCTTTCCACGCGTTGATGAGCTGAGGGGCAGCAAACAGTCTTGGGTTATGTAACTGCAAGGGGAAAAAATGAGAGAATTCATGCATAAAAGCAATAAAAATAGGGGTGTTGTCATTGGGGGGGCAGAAAGAAGGAAGAAAAGTCTGGCAAAAGGTGTCAGAAAAAAAGCAAACAGGCCTCTCAAAGGCATTTGTCATTACCTCACCCGTCGAAGGCATGGACATCCAATGAGGCTTTGAACAAGGTGATGGCAAATCAACCTTGATACGATCCAAAGGGCCGTGGAGTTTGTGGAACATGTTTCGATACCAATCAGGCCGGCGAACAATTTCATTGTAAAATTCATATCGAACCGCCATATAATCGCCCTGCCCGCCTCCCAATGCGTAAGCCACAGCTTGGAATCCGCAGTGTCGATCTGATCGAACATCCAAAATATCCCGGACATCAGGTTGAATAATTTTGGGTAAGTACTGAAGTTAATCGAGATCGGATGGGGGAATTGGGAGATGGGGGTTAGATGGACGTGGGGGAGGGTCTAGAAGCACCAATGGGGCCGGTTTGGTGGGTGTAATGGGGGACGAGGGCACGGAGGCATCAGCAGAGGAATTGAATTTGAGCTTTTTCTTGTTGGCTTGAACGGGGGAGGAGGGAGGGGAGGATTCAGGGGCGGTTGCTTTCACATTCTTCTTGGGGACGACGACAACAGGTTTGGTGGCTCCTTTCCTGACTGGTTGAATCCTCTTCTTTGGGGCCTCTTCTTCCTTCTTCTTTTTGCTGTCATCCTTCTTCTTTTTTTCCTGGTCTTTCTTCTTCTGATTATCTTCTTTGGTCTTCCGTTTCTTGTTCTTCTCGGCGTCTTTTTCTTCAAGTTTCCTCTTTTTTGCAATGTGTTCGAATTCTGACGGGTCCCATGTTGTTGATTTGGGTTTGTTCAGAACTCCTTTGGGTCTACCTCGAGTTGATTGCACCTGCTTCGGTAACTGAAGGTCAACAACGGTGGCAGAGCCGTCCAGAAGTCAAGAGATGGTGTCAAGCTGTATGGTTAACGTCTAAATTCTCACAAGTCCCTTGCCTGCAGTCGGTTTTTCTGCGCGCAAAGCACACCCTCCTGCAGGGAGGGACTTGCGTACAAAGTCAAAATTTGGGCTGGCACAGGAAATAAAAATGGCTGGAGTGAAATTTGTTAAGGCCCTGGCTCCTTATCCTAATCCTCTACAAGCCTGGCTCAGAGCCAGATTGTACTTTTGGGTCCCAGCTTTTACTTGAAGGTGGTCTCATCCCTTCATTTGCCCTGGTTCCCCTTCTACATTTTTTTGAAAAATGATTTTTCCTCAAAAACCCAAAACAACAATTGACCAAGATCCACAAGTAAATCAAACTTAGAGTCCCAAATGCTCATTAAGATGCTTGATAAAACTGTCTATTCATAATTTCTTTCAAGTAAGTGGTTTTTTTAGAAAAATTATTATGTGGTATTAGGATTTCCTGTCCCAGCCAAATTTTTGCCTTGACTCATAAGCCTCTCCTACGGAGAGTGTCCTGTGGGGACGCCCCGGGAGAGGCTTTGTTAAGCTAGGGTTAACGTGCTCAGGTTTGTTTGGAGGAGCCTTTGCTTGACGGATTCAATCTGGTCTAGGGCTTGTGGGTTGTTTTGTCCCGGATTGTTTGTTGGTTGGATATCCTGTTGTTGATTGAAAGGAAGCACAATGTTATTAAGGACTCTAAGAGTAGAAAAATTAACCATAATTATCAAACTTACGTGGATATGCCATTGTTGATGAAAGTCTTCTGTTTCCAACTGTCCGCCTGACCGAGTCAACTCTGCTAGGCGATGTTTACACGGAATACCTGTCCGGAGTCGATGAAAGCCGTTACAATGATCCTTCTTCCCAAGGGTTGCTGATATGTGCAGGTTGTTGTGTGCCTTCCTCAGAGCAAAATGGGTGATCCGGCCCAGGCAATTGTCAAACAGGGAACCAAGATTCATGAGAGCGTCCATTTTTTCCTGGCGGTGGAGGGAGCTTATGTTGTGTACTTGGGTTTCAATGGCGTTGGTGATCATTTTGATGGTCGAGTTGAGGGATTGATTGGGACCAAGGAGATGTGATTTGACAAAGGAGTGTGAAGATTCGATCCAAGATGTCGTCTGGTGATCGAAATGGGGCACTTCCCTTGTCCAGGTGTTTGCATATTTCTCCGCAACTGGGAGCCAGTTTGAGCGCATGTAATTGCCAAATTTCTCGCCACAACTTCCAGCGAATCGGTCAAAGGCGGCCCTGAAGTCGCCGGTGGTCGTGATTTTGATGAGATTATTCCAGTGTTGAATCATTTCAGCCTCCTTCTTCTTGTCCTTGATCATTTTTGCCCCGTTAGAAATCAGGTTTTTGTTGATGTGCCAGGTACACAGTAGATGAGCCGCGGTGGGGAAAACGGAGTCGAGACCATTCATAAGGGCTTGTTCCCGGTCGGTCAGGACTACCTCAGGGATAGGAATATTGTTGCTAGTGAACATGTTGAGCAGAGATTCAAGAGCCCATTTGTAGTATTCTTCGGTTTCTTCTTGAAGGAAAGCAAAGGCAACACTGAAGGATTTGTTGGATCCAGTGACGCCAGCAATGTGGAGGAGGGGCATGCGATACTTATTTGTCTTGTAGGTGCAATCGAGGAATAAGATGTAGTGGAAATGACGGAGGAGCTGAATTGAGTGGTTGTGACAGAAGAAAAGGCCTAGAATCTCGCCAGAATTGTTTACCTTGGTTGCTGAGGTGAAGTCCGTCGTGAGGGTTTGATTAAGATGAACAATTGGACTGAGTCCACGTAACTCTTTGGCCCGAGCCTTCTTTCTGGCGGAGTACACAGTTGAAATCGTGGCCAAGATTGACTGATCGGGATGTGTCTTCTTGAGTGATTGGAGAACCTGAGCTGGTTTTAAACCCGCGTCACCTAGTTTCTTCATTTGCTCATAGAGCTCCTTTGAGAGTTTTCGGTTGGCGGTGTTCCCGGATGGATCTTTGCTGGGTGCATGATTATGTCGGCGATCGGCCACAGTAAACTTCCATTCCCCCCCCCCGCCCTTCTTCTGGATCTGGGCCCTCGCGTCAAATGGGCAATCAATCAGTAGACTGACAATGGGTCCGGAGCGTGTGTCATTTTTCCGTCTGTTTCGAGCTGTGTTACCACCCCTACACATAAGATGGAGAAAAAGGTCGGCCATTGAGCATGAGCTCTGATTTGAGTGCTATGCAGAAGGAGTACTTACCTGTCACATTTGAAAGTGATACTCTTCCCGGGAACAGTCCTCCTCCTGACAATGACGAAACCATTTTCCCGAGCAAAGGTTTTGATGGAATGCTCAAGGATCAATGGGTCGGAATAAGTGGCCGCAGGAGGAGCGGGTATGTTGGTATGTGGTGCTTGCGCTGGTGTTGGGGGGATGGTTGGGGTCTTTGTTGTTGTAGTTGTCTTATCTTCCAGATCTGACTCAGGCTCGTCCTCCTCATTGTTGTCGCCAGTGTTCTTATTGGCTTGACTTGCAAGTAGCTCTAAGCATTTTTCGATGGTTACTGTCTCGTCATCTTCAGCGGTTTCTGCGTGATTGTCATCAGTGTCTTCAAGCTGGCAATTTTCTGTCTTTTTTTGGGTGTTCGTTTGATTTTCTGTGTTTTTGGTGATGGGGCTGACTGTTGCTGTTGCCTTGGGCTTGACAGGGGGGGGTGGTTGGTTTTGGGGGGGTCCGGTGACGGGGCGGATTGTTTCCTTCTGATTGACGCCGGTGGGGGCAATGGTGGCGGGGGTTCTGGAGAAAAGTTGGGATTCGGAATTGGCACCAGGGATGACGGCTCCTACAGGGGCCAAGAGGCTTGGATCAAGCTCAGCCGGGTTGGGGGGGTTGACAACTGCGGTCCGGGATGCGACGTCCCCCTCAGTTGGCCCAACAACTGCCGTTTTTGGCGCGACAACTGCTGTTTTTTGCGCGACGACTCCCGGGGCCAAGGGGAGTCCGGTGGCGGGGGCAGCGGCGACGACTCCGTTCTGTGGGCTAGCGACTCCGGCCCCTGCGGCGACGACGGCTGTCCCCGGCGTGACGACTCCCGTCTCTTGGGCAGCGACTCCCTCTCCGGCGTGGACGACTCCTGTCCCGGCGGCGACTATGGCGGTCCCCAGCGTGAAGATTCCCGTAACTCGTGCGGCGACTCCCTCTGCGGCATGG